ATGATGGCGGTTTTCCATGCATTTGGGAAGTGATTTAGGCGTAAGATTGCATTAAATATTGCCGTGATTAAATATTGCCGTGGTTAAATATTGCCGTGATTAAATATTGCCGTGATTAAATATTGCCGTGATTAAATATTGCCGTGATTAAATATTGCCGTGTCTCTTCTTTTTAGAGTTGTAATCGTGCGCCTGAAGACAGCAAATTTTCGACACAAAAACCCTTATTGCCGGGCGCTAGTAAGGAAAAAGTGGATTAACCCAGTTGCTCCATATAGAAAAAAAAATCCTCTAATACGTGGTGTAGCCAGAATCCATCTTTTATACGTCCTTCGTACCGAAAAATCGATTGACGTCAAAACCTCTGTCTGTCCTGTCTCTGTGTGCACAACGCTAGCACAAAAAGCAGTTCAGATGATTTTCTCCAAAGTTGATATTTCTCAATCGTTCTGGCTGATGTCGCAGAAACTGGAATTTTGAAACCAAAATTTTAATTTTGCGGGTACTTTGTATGCAGTTCTTGGAACATTTATAAAATTAATAAAAATGGCTCAAAATCCTTTGATTAAATATAATTGTTGAATAGTGCAAAAAACGTGTAAGAGAATGGTGGAGGTCTCATTTCCATTGACATCCCCGACTTTTCGAAAATTTGAAAAAAAATTAAAACTTGAAAATTGGAGATACAGATTTTTAGCTCAGACAATCTGTTGTTCAAAATTAATTCTTTAAAAAAGGTCAAGTACAATTTTTTGCAAAAACCAGTAGTTTAAGGAACGATAAGAAATATGGTGCTAGTCTCTTTTTGCTATTGCTGATTTTGTTCCAAAATTGCAAAAATCTTTCAAAACAACAAAACTGAAGACAGAGACTTTTACCTTTGACATAGTCTGTTGAACAAAATAAGCTATTTAAAAAAGGGCATGTACAATTTTTTTGTTGAATAATGAGTAGTTTTGGTATTCTTTCTGCTTGAAGTTAATGAAATATATACAGGTTTCAAATCAATTTCGGGCCACGAGAAAAATTGAAAGAATAATATGAAAGATAATTAATTTAATATTAATTATAATTTACTATTGAATATAATTCTGTTTTTACAATATTAATTCTGTTTTTACTTTACCGTATTTTCACTTTTTACTCAATGTGTATTCTCAACATATTTATGTATTTCTTTTTAAACAATCCGCAAAGCTTAATAAAAATTTCGCAACAATGCCGGATCGATTGAGTAGCACTTGTTTTCTTTATATCATTTTCTCTCTTCCGAAAAACCATGGGCGCTCTCTTTGTTGAAAAGCAATAGTGTTTTTTCGTATCTGAAGTGTGGATGCTAG